ATTTTCTTCCTTTAGAGAGTATAGCTTTTGAAAGTAGTCTGTTAGAATTGTTTGGATATCTTGGGTGCGTGTTGTGATGTTTCCCGTGGCATCCCTAATCCTATTAATATGGGTTTCCTCTCTTCTTTTTTTAATTAATCTTGCCAACGGGCCATCAATTTTGTTTATTTTTTCAAAGAACCAGCTTTTTGTTTGGTTTATTTTGGTTATGGTTTTCTGATTTTCTAATTGGTTAATCTCTGCTCTCAATTTGGTTATCTGGCTTCGTCTAGTAGCTTTAGGTCCCATTTTTTCTTGTTTTTCTAGCTGTTTTAGTTGCAACATGAGATTATTTACTTGGTCTGTCTCCATTCTCTTGATGTGGGCACTGAGGGCAATAAATTTGCCCCTCAGGACTGCTTTTGCTGTGTCCCACAAGTTTCTTTGTGAGGTGTTTTCATTTTCATTGAGTTCTAGGAAATGCTTTATTTCTTCTCTGATCTCTTCTGTTACCCAGGCCTTGTTAAGGAGTGTGCTGTTCAATTTCCATGTATTAGAGAAATTTCTGCGGTATGCTTTGTTATTGAGAGCTAGCTTGATTCCACTGTGGTCAGATAGGATACAGGGGATTATGTCGATCCCTTTGTATTTGCTTAAGTTCCTTGAATGAACTATGATATGGTCTATTTTGGAGAAAGTTCCATGAGCTGCTGAGAAGAATGTGTACTGTGTTGTTTTAGGGTGAAATACTCGGTAGATGTCAGTTAATTCCGCTTGAAGTATGGCCTCACTTAATTCGGTAGCTTCTTTGCCAATCCTCTGGTTGGTAGACCTGTCCTTTGGTGAGAGTGGCGTGTTAAAGTCTCCTAGTATTATCGTATTGGGATCTATTTTATTCTGTAAGTTTGAGAGCATTTGTTTAACATATCTGGGTGCACCAATATTTGGGGCATATAAGTTGATGATGGTTATATCCTCCTCTTGGATTGTTCCCTTTATTAATATGTAGTGTCCGTCCTTGTCTTTCTGTACTGATTTTAATGAAAAGTTTATTTTGTCAGATATCAGGATAGCTACACCTGCTTTCTTATTGGGGGAATTTGATTGGTAGATCCTTTTCCACCCCTTCACTCTGAGTTTGTTTGTATGTTTGGCTGAGAGGTGGGTCTCCTGAAGGCAACAGATGGATGGGTCTTGTTTTCTGATCCAGTCCTCAGTTCGTTTTCTTTTAATTGGCGAATTCAGCCCATTTATATTAAGAGAAAGTATAGAGAGATGCATTGTTGTCCCTGCCATTCCGTTTTCCTAAGTTTTTCTTCTTTCCTTTCCTCCTGTGCTTGCTCAGTTAGACTTTGAGTAATGCCTGTTTGGGGCAGGTCCCAGTTCCTGGTTGCTTTCTTCAGGTTGTGTCCCCCCTCTTAGAATTCTTTGTAATGCTGGCTTAATGTTTATGTATTCATTTAGTTTTTCTTTGCTATTAAAAGTTTTCAGTTCTCCATCGAATGTGAATGCTAGCTTTGCCGGGTATATCAGTCTGGGTTGGCAGTTATTGGCTCTCAGGGCTCGTATGGTGCTTTCCCAGGCTTTTCTTGCATTCATTGTTTGTGTGGAGAGATCTGCAGTGATTCTAATTTTTTTCCCATTGTAGTATAGCTCCTTCTTCATTTTTGCTGCATGCAGGATTGTTTCCTTATTATTCAGATCCATCATTGTTACTATTATGTGCCTAGAAGTGTTTCTCCTGGGATCTTGCTTGTTGGGTGTTCGATAAGCTTTTGTGATGTAGTTAAGATGGTCGTTTTTGAGGTGGGGAAAATTTTCATTGACTATCTTGTTAAATAGGTGTTGCATTCCCTTGCTCTGGAATTCCTCACCTTCGTCCACTCCGATTATGCGAAGGTTAAATTTTTTAGCATTATCTGCTTGCTCTTGAATTTCCCTTTGGTTTAATTTGAGTGATTTTTCCATATCTGTCACTTTTTGGTCCAGTTGGTGTATTCTGTCTTCTGTATCTGACACTCTACCTTCCATTTCATTCACTCTGTTGACCGTGGCTTCTATTGTGGTTTGCATGGTGGAAATGGATCCCTTTATGGATTCAATGTTGGTTCTCAGAGTACTGATCTCACCTCTCAATGAGGTGAGATCAGTATGCATTACCTCTAATTTGGCGTTTATCTCACTTCTTACTGAGGTTTGTGCAGCTTCTATTTTTGCATCCAATTTTTGTTTGATATCCTGTATATCTTTTGATAGTTCATCCTTGTGCTCTTTCAATTTCTGATCCATTTCTCGCTTTATTTCTTGAGTCATTGCCTCCAGCAACCCTTGGATGTAGTTTTTGTCTTCCATTCCTGCTTTGCTCCCACTGGGGCTCTCCCCTGCGTGGCTGCTGGCTTTTGAGGTGAGCTTGCTGTCCTGGGTAGTGGTAAACCTTGTGATTTTTCTCTGTGATTTTCGCATGGGGGTTCAGGAGACTGCTCTTCAATCTTGTTTTGGTGTGTCTGTCTTTGCTTGGTTGCTGATTCTGTATTGGTAGAGAGAGTCTGTGCCTGATCTGGATTCTGTTGGGAGCCTATTTCCAGCTGCTATTCACTTAGGATTCTCAGCTCTCTGCTGTAGCAATTCCCGCCTTTGGAAGGGTTGAGCAGCCTAGACTGCTTGTGTTTGCTCCTGCGGGTGCTCTTGGGAAGATCAGATGCTCTGGATGCACTCTCCCAAATACTGGAGTGTGCTATGGGCTCCTGATGTGTTTTTGTTTGTTTGTTTTGGGCTGGTTGTGGGCTTGAACTCTAGGTTTGGGTGCTGTCCCTCAGCTCTTCAGCTCAGGGCTGGCACCCTACCATTTGAGCCACAGCCCCACTTCTGACCCTTTTTGCTTTGTTCAGGCGCCGGTCCCCTGGCCTGGTTCTGGCCCCAGCCTGGAGCGCGCTCGTTAGGCCTGTGCTAATGTGTATACCACCTTGGTTATGCAGCCTGGAGGACACAGTTCAAATTTCTTCTACTGTTGGTAGTCTTGACCCAGGGGCACTGTTCCTGGCTTGAGCATTTAAGCTCCCTTCCAGGGGCGCTCTTGCTCTGGCCTGGCCAGCAGAGTGTGCTCCACCGGCTGGTGGAGCTCTCGAACAGTTCCCAGTTTTAGTGGGTCCTGTGGTCCGGGTGTTGGGGTAGGGAGTCTAGGTCAGGGTCTGGGGATTCCCTCCAGCTCTGGTCTCCCTTGATGGATTCCCTGTCCCCTGATGGGTACTCACCCTGTAGGTCGTCAGTTGTTGTTGCAGTCCGTCAGTTGTTGTTGCAGTCCGAGTTCAGTTGGGGTGGTTGCGGGCTGGGTTGGGCGGCCCCCCGCCGGGTCGTTGCGATCGCGATTGGGCGGGTGGTCTGCGGACAGGTCCCTTTGTGGCGCTGCTGGTGCCGGGCGGCTTTGGCGGGATGGAGCCTCTCCGCTCTGGTGGAGAGTGAGGGTGGGGTGGGATCCTCCTGGAGACTCCCGGCTGGTAGGTTTCTCTGTTCCTGGCGATCCGCTGTTCTGCAATCCGGTACCTGGTGATCTGCAAGCAGCCCCCTGTGTCTCTGTGGCTCCGGCAGCCCCCGCCGGGCCGGCTGGCCGGCGGCTTGGCGCACTGCCGCGCGGCCAGTAAAGGTTGGGGGAGGAGTCTTCGCTCTTCTCTGTTCTGAAATTCTTCTTTTCCTCTCTTTCTTTTTTTTGTTATTTTCCACCTCTGGTTTTTCTCTGAGTGTTCGTCTTTTTGTTGTTGTCGGTCTCTTGGGGAGATTAAAGGTTGGAACTCGAACTCTCTTTTTGGTTGGAGAGAGCTGTGGCGTTTCCCTACTGCCCCGTCGCCATCTTGGTCCCCCTCTCCCATATGTGTTTTGCTTATAGCTATGTGTCAAGAGCCTTTTATATTGCTTGGCATATAGTATTCATTCATGTATTCGTTTGTTTTCAAAAACATAGCGGTTACTAAGTAGAAAGTGCTTTTTCTTTTTAAATTCTTGAAGTATAATAGATATATGGCAGGAAAGGTTCCCTATGTACTGGAGTTTATTTTTTATTATTTTGTGGGGTGTGTGTATATGTGCATACGTGCATGCATGTGTGCATGCATGTGTGTGTGTGTGTGTGTGTGTGTGTGTGTGTGTGTGTTGTCTAGGGATTGAATCTAGGACTTTACATATGCTAGGCAATCATTTTTCTACCGAATTAATATCCTGAGCCCTCATAGAGTTGAAATTCATTTTTATGTTATTATAATATATAGGAGCATCCAGAAAATATTCTACCAGGGAGCTGTATTGTCATCCTAATGTTTAAATTATCAATTCATGGTATCTTAGTGGTAGAGTGCTTGCCTTGCATGCATGAGGCCCTGGGTTCGATTCCTTAGCACCACATAAGCAGAAAAAGCCGGAAGTGGTGCTGTGGCTCAAGTGGTAGAGCACTAGCCTTGAGCTGAAGAGCTCAGGGACTTTGCCCAGGTCCAGAGTTCAGGGCCCAAGACTGAAAACAAAATGATTAATGCAGTGCTGTTCAACAGAACTTTCTATGATGATAAAAATGTTCTTCACTCTCTTGTCCAATGTGATGGTCATTACCCATATGTGGTCATTGAGTACTTGTAATGCAGCTTATATTAATAAAGAACTGAATTTTTAGCTGCTTAATTTTAGATAACTCAAATTACTACATATGTGCAGTGGATGTCGTATTGATACTACCTATTTACCAGATTAAGAGATTGGAGACAGAGACAAAGTTGGTAAATAAATAAGAATAATTTCATATAGTAATTTGAACTGAAAAGCAAGAAAATCAGTGATGAGATGTATCTGAGAAAATACTTAAGTGGGGAACTCAATAAATGAATTAATGAAAGAACTTTTAGAAACTGTGTTATTTCGTACTTTGGCTTTAGAATGCTTACTTATTGATGTAATGGTTTTCTTTTGGAAAACAACACCCAGAACTCACAGTAAACCTTTATGTTTTTATTATTTTTTAAACTGTAAACATTATTTTCTAGCCCTGAATTGTCATCTCCAGTTCCTGCTGATGATACCTCAACGTTGATAGGTATGCTCCTGTGTCTTTATTCACTTTTCTTTTAAGGTTCTTTATGTTCAAAATTTTCACATACCAAGTTTCTCTCTTATTCATCAGTCTCAAGAAAAAGTAATTACTTTTTCACTTGCTTTATGATGTTATGATATTATGTTGGGATACTTAAAACTCTGTTAGTTTAATACAGATTGGACCACAACTTAAGACAAAAGTATGGTACAATAAATTATTTTATAGCAAATACTCTGTTAAAAGGTAGAAACTTTCAATGAGGCACTGGTGGCTCACACTTGTAATATTAGCTACTCAGAAGGCTGAGATCTGAGGATCCTAGTTCTAAGCCAGCCTAGGCAGGAAAGTCTGTGAGACTCTTATCTCCAATAAACTACTCAGAAAAGGCCAGAAGTGGTGCTGTGCTCAAGTAGTAGAGTGCTAGCCTTGAACACAAAGAGACTCAGGGACAGTGCACAGGCCCTGAGTTCAAGCCCTAGGACCAGCAAAAAAGAGAAAAAAGAAAAAAAAAAGAAACTTTCTAGCTCCTCTACTTGTCATTTGTCCTCTAGTTTTCCAGAGTAAGGACTTTTCTGAAAGCATTTTGTGTATAGTTGAACATGTTCTTTTTACCTGTGTATTTCTTGTAAATTGATGGTAGTTCTCTCTTTCTCTTTTTCTCCTTCCTTCCTTCCTTCTTTCCTTCCTTCCTTCCTTCCTTCCCTCCCTCCCTCCTTCCTTTTTTCCTTCCTTCCTTCCTGAATTGTTGGTGATAGAACTCAAGGCCTCATACATGCTAAGGAAGCACTCTACTATTGAACTCCACTTCTAGCCTATGTCCTTTATTTTTTATTTCTTTATTTATTTACTTTTTTTAATTGTGAAAATACCGTACAGAGGGGTTACAATTTCATGGGCAAGATAATGAGTACATTTCTTTTTTCTTTATTGTGAAAATACTGTACAGAGGGGTTACAATTACATGGGCAAGATAATGAGTACATTTTCTTATCAAGCATTGTAGCCTCCTCCTTTGTTTCCCCTTCCCATCCCTTCCCATCCTCCTCGCCCCCCCCACCGCCCCTCCCCCCTGCCACCGCAAGAAAGTTGTAAAGTTCATTTTCAACATAACGACTTGTACATCTCATTGTTGCAATGGGTCCACCTGTATCCCTATTTAAACGATTTGTTTTTCCCCTTCCCCTCCACAAATTATACTGACATCAAATACAGTGAAAGCAGGGGTTATACTGTGGGGGAGGGACATGCAAAGCAACAAAGAAATAATCTTATAAATGTGTTAGAAACAATCGCATGAAAGAAAAAACATTTGAATACATATCTTAGGGTTCCTTTCCCTAACATCACCTTATCTGACCTTTTCTGCTTGACTCAGACATATACTAGATATTGCAAATAAGGGAAATCATGGGACCTATGTTTCTTTGGGCCTGGCTTACTTCACTTAATATAATAAATTTAGATTTTTTTTGGGGGGGGGGGTCCGGTCATGGGGTCTGAACTCTGGGCCTGGGTGCTGTCCCTCAGCTCTTCAGCACCACAGTGCCACTTCTGGCTTTTTTTTTTCTTCTGCTTATGTGGTGCTGAGGAATCAAACCCAGGGCCTCATGCATGCAAGGCAAGGGCTCTACCACTGAGCCACCTTCCCAGCCCTCTTTATTTTTAATTCAAGAAATACAACCTTTTTAGTTTTAGAAATTTCAAACATATAGAAAACCAAATAGCATGATATAGTCAAGTTTCAATGATTGTCAAATCATGGACAATATCCCTTTCTACTCTTTGTTGTATAGTTCCATAGGTATAGACGTTTTGTTTGAATCCCCAGCATCAAGCATAGAACTTGGCATAAGGTTGCTACACATAAAATCTCACAAATGTTTGTTGTCTGTTTAGATGGACTGAATTTTCAATACGGAAAAACAAAGGACTTGTAAGAACAGCTTTCAAAGTCAGTTCCTTATTTTCTGATAGGAATTCTGACTTCTTTTGGGACTGTATTTTTGTTTTTCTTTTTAGGTGCTGCTCTCAGTGTTCCATATTCCAGGGTGGCCTCCTCTGAAGGTGCCTCAGAGAGTAGCTTGGAGCCCCCACAGGAGACTGTGAGTCATGCTGTTTTGTTAGTTTCTAACGAGGAGTAAAGATGCAGTTTATAGTCCATTGCTGAGGATACAGAACTTCCTTTGTGTCCTGTTATGAAAATATCATGGATTCTAAAAGCAGCACATTAAAAAAAATAAACTTCTAATCTTTAAGAGTCAAAGAATCTGTTATACTGGCAAGTTTTTGAGGAGAGAAGATGTTAAATTGTAAATGAAATGGTTTGTAATTTGGGGAATTCCCACTGTGATAAGCCTATCCTATAATAGGCTTATGTACATTTTATCCCTTGGTAGATGATAACCTCTTCTCCTTAGAGTGAAAGGATATAGATTTTATGTAGTTTAAAATAAAAAGAATAATGATTTGAAAATATTCATAAAATTAATTAAAATATTTAAAAACACTCAAAAAATGTTCCTATCAATAATAGTGAACAACACTGTACTCTATAGTTGTGTGTCTCAAAAAAAGTCATCAAACCAAACTAAAAAATTACATGCTGTATTTTATTAGAAGTTCTGTTAAGGTCTGCATTAAAAACTTTATTTGTTCATATATGCTATTACATAACATAGAGTAGATTCTGTCTTAAAATATTGCTTAGAAGCATATAATTTATGTTGAACGATCTCTTCCAAATTTTTGTATTTTAAGAAATGTGACATCAGGTTAAATCCTTCCACTTTGTCTCCTTGTCTTCTCTGTCACTGGACAAGTTTGGTGGTAATTTGGGATCTATAGAGTGCATGCCTAAATCAGTACTTGCACCCTAAGCACAACTGTGTCTGAAATATGTGATATTACCATATTTGGTCATTCAATAAGTTAATTGTGAATAAATGACTTAGGAAAGTAATGATGTAGTTCTGAACTTGAAGTAAGATAGCCATGATTTCGATCTGCAAACATTTATAAACTGATACAGAGTTTATTATAGTAAAATGATAAAATTATATTTAACCAATTAGGACATTAATATTCAAAAACAAAGATGATATTTTGAGCCTATTTATAGAACCATAAGAAGATAAATAGTATAGAGATAATGAACTTGTTGGTTAGTTAGGCTTGTTGGTTGAGATGAGGTCTTGGTAATGTCTTGCACAGCTGGCAAATCTGCTCAATGTTCACTCATTTTCTACTTTCCCCCTAGGATTACTGGTGTGCATTACCATACCTAGCCTTGAATATAGTTGTGACTCCACATAGAAACTGAAGAACTTTCCTTTTGTTTTTGTTCTTTTTCCCATCTCCCCTCCCTCCTCCCACTTAGCTTCCCCCCTTTTTGTTTTTGTGTTTTTGTTTGTTTTGTTTTGTTTTGGGTGCAGGTCCTGAGGCTTGAATCAGATATGGCCACTGTCCTTGAGCTTTTTTTTTTTTTTTTTGGCTCAAGGCTAGTGCTCTACTATTTGAGATCCTTGTCCTTTTTTTTTTTTTTTTTCTTTTGAGCTGTTGTTTCAAAAAAATATTCTGGCTAGGTGCTGGTGGCTCACACCTCTAATCCTAGCTACTCAGGAGGCTGAGATCTGAGGATCGCATTTCAAAGCCAGCCTTGGCAGGAAAGTTCATGAGACTCTTATCTCCAATTAACCACCAGAAATCCGGAAGTGGCACTGTGGCTCAAGTGGTAGATTCCTTGCCTCCAGCTGAAAAGCTGAGAGACAGTGCCCAGGCCCAGAGTTCAAGCCCCATGAGCGACCAAAAAAACAAAAAATCTGGTATATGAAAAAGTGATTAATATATTCTTCCCTTCACAAATACATATATGTGTGTATCATGAAGATTTTTTTCAAATAGTATAACTAATACAACTCACAGCAGAGGCAACTCATTTTTTTGTGGAAAGCTTTCTATCTTCTCTTGAACTAGTCAATGTATGTTCAAAGGAATGTACAACTGCACAGCCATTTTAATATTATCCTATTTTGAAGTTATTATACTTTTATTTATTTTGAAATTTTATTTTTAGTTTTAAGTCATTGTGTGAAGGAGTTGCCAAGATTTATTGAATTCATATACTACTTTGTTGAATGACAACTCAATTATCCTATTTCAAAGTATATCTAGTTTGTTCCAAGCTCAAATACTTTGTAAAAATCATCATCCTAGGTTGCCTTGGTACAGTATCTGAAACTCCATGGGCAATGAATAAACTCATTGGATTGAATGAATAAACGTTACCATTTATTTAAAAAAAATCTAGATTAGCAATGAAATTGAGAATGTGGTAGAAGAGCCCACAAAACCAGCAACTGAACAGATTGCAGAATTCAGTATTCACCTTTTGGGGAGACAATATAGAGAAGAACTGAAGGACCCTGCCAGTTTCCATCACCAGCATCTTGCAGAAGAGTTTATTGCAGAGGTAGGTAATTTTGTTTGTTGTGGTGAACAGGGCAGTTTTCTGGAGATGTCCATTCCTTATATTCACAACATGACTTAATGGTAGGCTTAGGACTCAAGTTGACTATCTAGTTGGTGCGTAGGGTGATGGCTTTAACCATTTCTCCAGAACGCTTTGTAAAAGTTCACAGAAAGAGAAATTCTTTCCCAGAAACAAAATCTTGCCATCTGCTAAAAAACAAATGTTCTTTCAAATTGATACTGTGTAGGCAAAGGAGAATGAATTTTGTGGCATAGTTTTGACTTGACAGTGTGTGCAGAGATGAGTTTCTCTGAACAACTCTGTTATGCGTTGTCTGATTTGAAGGTATATTGAATTTTATTTCTTTAAATTTCAACTTTAGTATTTTGTCTTCAATTGAAAAATTTGGAGCAATTATCACATAAGTTATAAATATCTAGAACAAATATTAGAAGCACAAAAAGATATATAGTAAATAAAACTTCCCCACTATCTCTGTTTTGTGGTAGGAGGTATTTTATTTATTTAAAATATCTCTCAATTTTTATTAAATTATCAAATTTAGAGCATTTCTATTTTGTGAACTTATTAAATAAAAAGTTAAATTATAGAAGGATCATTACCTCATGGACGATCCAAAAACTCTAAAATTTGTAATATTCTCAACAGTAGGATTCAAAATCATTTCAAATAAGTATAACACTTTTATACTCTCATATTATTTATTACTATTTCAGTTCTTTCAAATCATTTTCATACTTGCTGGAGAAGGCATGGGTATGTTTCTGATGGAAAAATAGACATGTCTCAAATACTGAGTACCAAGGTATGGGAAAGGATACCTATGATTTTTTTTTTAATGTGCCGATAGCTGCATGATAGAATATGTTTCTTCCAAAATCCCAGAATCCCAGAATTTGTTAGGTATTTTTTAAAAGCATTCCTTCAGTGAACCATGAGTTAGACCATACTACAATATTCTTCTAGTTAGAAATAGCCCATTCTGGGCCTCCTTGTAATATGTCCTTGTTTTTGTATAGTAAGGCATTGAATACCATCTACTCTTCTCTGTCTGATGACAGGGTACATGAGTCCTGTTTATTTCTTTTCCATTCCCTCTTAATTTGGTTCTTTTTGGCCAAGTTTGTCAGTTCCGTTACCTGGGATTAATTTCCTCCCCAAACACTGTGTCCAGATGGGAAATAAAAATATGCATCTTTCAGCCAAACAGCATCATTTCACCCATCAGACATGGGGAATGTAGGCCAGACAATTAATTTTCCTAGCTATGGGCCAAGTTGCAAGGCTGTATGGTATGTGGAAGAAATGTCAGCCAGGCCAGTGGCCACCTGGCATCAGATAGTCTTGACTTGGCTGTCTGGTGTTTCTGCCCTTGGATTAAGTAACCTCTAAAATGTCTCAGTGTTTGGGTAAACAAGTGCATGGAATGACTTCAGGTTTAGCAAAAGTCTAGTGAGTACTCTGAAAAACATCTCCTGCAGAGACTTCACAAGACTTTATGAGGAGAAAGGTAAGAGGAAGGAGGGCCATGATAATCTTGGGACAATACCAACTATGGTGTCAAGAGGGAAAGAATATGATAAGCTTATGAGGATCTGTAACCTGAAGGCGGTCATGAGATGGATGTAGTATCCTTCCATCCTGGCTTAATGCAAGGACACAGTGCTTCTATAGGCTACTTTCTGTATGATTGCTTCTAGTAAGCTTCTTGAAAAACAGTTTTATTTTACAGATGAGGCTCAGGAAGCCAAGTTATTTGTTAGTGGTAATTTCAGCCTCTCCATGGGCAGAAAGTATAATCAGGTCTCTTTCTGCCTTCTACTCCTTTGTTTATATGCGGTCCCTCCATAATTTAAAGTAGAAGTTGTAGTGAATTTTATTGTATCTTCAGTCCTGATCCTAATTTTCAAACATCACAAGGCAGGAGAAAGCTGAAAAGACAATGACAGTCAATGTTAAAAAGATTTGAGGTTAAATTATGATGCTGTCACCGAGTGTGTAGTTTGGACCAAATTAGTTGACATCTTACAGTCTCAGTTTTCTCATTTATACCATCAGGACAATATGTGCAGATATATTCAGAATATTACAAAGATAAGAAGTAAAACCACAAAGCACTAGATATAGTAGTCTCTCAATAATTATACCTTTTGTTAATAATTTCTGTTAAGTAGAATTCCTTCTTCCACCAGACTCCAAAACAGTGGCTAACAGGAAGTGAATTAGAATGCCTATGTATGTTTAGATGCCAAAGCTAGATTTTAAAATTTATTTTAGTTTATTATTTATTTATTTATTTTGTTGGCCGTGGGGCTTGAACTCTCTAGGCCTGAGTGCTGTCCCTCAGCTCTTCAGCTCAAAGAGAAAAGTCAGATTTTTAAAGATTCAATATTAGAACTAATGCTAGCTGGAGGGATAATTTATATGGTAAAACACTTGCTTAGTATGCACAGGTCCTTGTTCAATCTCCAGTGCCAATGAAAAAAATAAGACCAGCTCCTGTGAAGGTGATATTTTGATAATTGCATCACCTGCCACTGCTTCTTAACCTTCTTTATGAATCTTTGTTGATTCAGGAGGTATATACTCTTTTTCAAATGGTAAGTGTTCATAGCTGTCATGTATTGAAGGAACAGGAAATAGATGCTACTAGACACTTTCATACTTAGAGAAAACAGGCACTTGACTCTGTCAGCATGTGTGCTGGGGCTAGATTTCAAATCTAAACAATAACATTTAAAAATGTTGTTATAGTCTTTTTGGAAATGATACCTTTAACATTTTATCTTTTCTTTTTTTTTTTTTTTTGCCGGTCATGGGGCCTGAACTCTGGGTCTGGGCGCTGTCCCTCAGCTCTTCAGCTCAAGGCTAGTGCTCTACCACTTGAGCCACAGCGCCACTTCCAGCTTTTTCTGTTTATGTGGTGCTTAGGAATCAAACCCAGGGCCTCATGCTTGCAAGGCATGCACTCTACCGCTGAGCCACCTTCCCAGCCCCCTTTAACATTTTATCACATAAGGAAATCCACAGTGCATTGTCAAAAAAATAGTAAAGCAAATGAAATCCATAAGAGGCAAAATGAAAATGAAAAAAAATGTGACAAAGTTTAACCAAACTATTTTCCAATATTGTAACTATTTTTATAAATGTTGAATTATATATGTGTATGTACAAGCTTCTTAGAGTTAAAATTAGTATACTTTTAAATTCTGTTTATAAAAGCATTTCATTTGTACTTTTGCATATTTCTATATCATTATTGTCTCTCATTTTGTTTTTAACAGGTTGAAAATGCATTTGCTGGATTACCAGGCTACAGAGAGATTCATGTTCTTGAATTTAGGTAAACACATTTATTCTAAAACTCATGTGCTCAGTAGCATCCTTGGTTTCAAATGGAAAATCCTTTGTGTTTATTATATGTAAACTAACAACAAATTCTGTAATTCACTGCTATTTCTGATTAATCAGTATTTTTAATGCTAGTTTTTCAGGTGACAATGTATTAGAGACAGGCAAAATATATGTTTAAGGAGGTATAGTAGATCTATAGTTGGGCCAGGGTTAGACTTCAGAATTTGGGTCTCCGGTTTCCTCCCTCTATAGGAGAACGATATTGTATCATAAAATCTGAATTTCTTTTTTCCAGAATATATCAATTTAAGTTTGTCAAATTAAGTCAAGTTATACACTTCTGATTTGGTGCTGAGGGGACCCTGGAGTTAGATTGGCTGGGGCCTTGGGATTTTCCTTAGAGCATATTGTTGCTCTACTGAGGTGAACTTGGATAGCTTGGTGTAAGGCCACTCTTGTAGGGATGCACCAGTCCTCATTTTAAACACAGGACTTTTTTTTTCTCTATTTCAGTTCTGGGGCTTGAACTCAGGGTCCGGGCACTTTCCCTGAGCTCTTTTGGCTCTAGGCTAATGCTGTTCCACCGAGTCACAGTTCCACTTTTGGCTTTTGCTGAGTAATTTATTAGATGTAGGAGACTTTCCTGCCCTGGCAGACTTCAAACTGCAATCCTCAATCTCAGCCTCCTAAGTAGCTAAAATGGTAGGAATGAGCCACTGGCACCTGGCTTAAATAGAGTACTTTTAAAACAGAGCCCTTTGTCAAAGACATTTTTCCTTGCTTAAGACTCATGACAAAATACTTGTAAACATTAACTGAGTAGGTTGTATTGGGAACTCCACCTTTCTGAGCTCATGTCATCTGTATAGGGTTGTACTACCATGACCTCCGTGATAACACATTGTTTTTTTTTTTGTTGTTGTTGTTTTTCCTTTTTATTGTCGGTTGTGGAGCTTGAACTCTGGGCCTGGGCTTTGTCCCCTCAGCTCTTCAGCTCAAGGCTAGCGCTCTACCACTTGAGCCACAGCACCACTTCTGGCTTTTTCTGCTTATGTGTTGCCTTGTACACGCAAGGCAAGCACTCTACCACTGAGCCACCTTCTCAGCCCTCTTTTTTCTTTTTTTGGTGGTACTAGGTTTTGCACTCAGGAGCTTATGTTTGCTAAACAAGTGTTCTACCACTTGAGTCACATCTCAAGCAAGAGTTTGTTTTAATACTGAATCTTTAAAATCCAACTCCTCATGTGTGGTAAGCAAGCATTACACCACTTGAGCCATACCTCCAGCAATTTTTGGCTTTAGTTATCTCTGCTTCCCATGTAGCTGGGCTCACAGACGTGTACTATCATTCCTGGCTTGTTCGCAAGCTGACCCTGAACCACCATCTTGATTTTCCATAGTAACTTTGATTACAGAATGAGCCGTTGTGCCCAGCCTACAAAACATATTATTCTTTTGACATCAGTAGGATTTTTACTCTAGGCTTCATGCTTGCTAAGTGGGCACTCTGCATCTTGAGCCAGGTTGTAGCCATAAGTTTAAAACATGGCCCATTGTGGACTAATTGCCCACCCTCTCTAGTTGAACTATATTGTATCACAAAATCTGAATTTCTTTTTTCTGTACTATGTCAATTTAAGTTTGGCTCATGATTGAATATGTAGGAACTATGTTTCAAACCTCTCTTCCTGTTAGCTTGACCATATAACTAATGTATCCATCATTGCAAGAGTAGGAATGATGCGTGTACTATACACTTCTGCTTTACTTGCTTTCTCTGAATTTGCGTACATCTTTTTTACCACATACCAGAACACAGATAAGCCCCCTGATTTTAAATATGCAGAGAAATACAATAATTAGTATGAGCAATCAAGACAAAAGAAACTTTGGCCCCTGGATGGTTTTCTTTTGATAAAAAGAAAATGGCTCTTATATTTCTTTTCTTTTCTTTTTTTTTTGGCGGGGGGGCGTCTGGTCGTGGGGCCTGAACTCTGGGCCTGGGCACTGTCCTTTAGCTCTTCAGCTCAAGGCTAGCACTCTATCACTTGAGCCACAGCGCCACTTCCGGCTTTTCTCTTTTTGCTTATGTGGTGCTGAGGAATCGAACCCAGGGCCTCATGCATTGCAAGGCAAGCGCTCTACCACTGAGCCACCTTCCCAGCCCCCATGGCTCTTATATTTCAAGTACAAAATACATCTAAGTTGTAATCCCTCTGTACATCACCTTTATAATAACAATAAACTAGATTTAAAAACCATGCAATACAGAAATAATAACATGCAATACAGAAAAATATATCTTAGAAAACTATTCAAAGATGAGTGAAACTTCTCTGTCATTTGTTGACAAATCTTTTGCCTCAAAAATTTAAACTTTCCCTGGATGATTTTCTAAAGCACAAATATCCCACCAACTTTTATTGCTTAATGTGAGAAATACTTTTTTGCCTTCTTTAGCCACTGTGTTAGAGACCACTTTGTTACAGAATGTTTCCTGTATCTTAACTAATATATCCAAGCCTGGGTCTCAGGGGGCCAGTTGGAGATTCCTCTGTTCTCTGCTGTGGCCTAGGAAACTTCTGATGAACTTCTTCAAACTTTGATAGAGACAACAGAATGTATGGCAGATAATTTCATTGTTTTCTAGCATGTTTTATTTGATCCCCCTAAACTGTTTAAATAGTTTGATTAAGGATGGAATTCTGGTTGGGAAATAATTTCCTTTAGAGTTTTGAGTTTTTGCTCTATTTTCTTTGTTATTTTAGAAAAAGTTTTTACTAATCCTTTACCCCTGCTTTTTTTTAGCAGTGTTCTGGAATTTCTCATGTCTTATTTGAGTCTGGAACTATGTATTTGATTTTCTTTTCATCTATTTTTTTCTTTTCATCTTTTTAAAATATTGTGCAACACACTGCATTTCCAAAGAAAAGGATCACAATTTTAATGCCAACAACTGTAGTGGTCTACCAATCTGCTTTATAAAGAGATAAGCCATGTCTTCATATTTAAAAAGCATTTTTCCTGCCTTAGTTAAAATAGATTTTTAAAAATACATACATGCACATAGACATTCTGTTGATTTATGGAATAAATCAACTGTAAATAAAATACTGTTTTTGGTTTTAAAAATATTTTTGCTAGCAAGCAGTTTGCAACAAATAAATAAGTCTGTTGATTCCTTTTAATTGCAATAAACAAGATAAAGCTAGTATTTTAACTTGTTTCTATTTGAGGTGACATAAATTTTTACCACAAAGGAATTTTTATTGTTATATTTCCATATATACAGACATTGTGCTTCAAAAGCATTTTAAAGCAAAGTTTAAATACTTACATTCATTGGTTCTGAATACTTTTTCCATATTTTTTTTTCTGTCGGTTGTGGGGCTTGAACTAGGGGCTTGGGTGCTGTCCCTCAGCTTTTCAGCTCAAGACGAGTGCTCTACCACTTGAGCCACAGCACCACTTCTGGTTTTCTAGTGGTTTATTGGAGATAAGAGTCTCACGGACTTTCCTGCCCGGGCTGGCTTTGAACTGTGATCCTCAGATCTCAGACTTTTTCCATCTTTATTCACTTTTCTCAGTCTGAAGGACCTTTTTGATATCTGATAGTCTATAAGCATTTCATTGAAGAAGGAATTTTAAAGGAAATCAGAAGAAACATATAAAGAACTTGTGTGTGTGTGTGTGTGTGTGTGTGTGTGTGTGTGTGTGTGTGTGTGTGTGCTGGTACTAGGTTTTAACTCAAGGCTTGGGTGCTGTCCTTGAAATTTTGTACTAGATTAGAGTACTAGTTTAAGGCTAGTACTCTACCACGTGACTATAGCTTCATTTCCCACATTTTGGTGAGTAATCATAGATACAAGTCTCCTGGACTTTTCTTGCCTGGGTTGGGTTTGAACCAATGATCCTTAAATCTCAGCTTCCTGAGTATCTAAAATTACAGGTGTGAGCCACCAGCTTGACAGAACTCTTTTTAAGCAATGTAATCATTATGAATGTCTTGAACTCTAATTGACATTTGCTTTTTTAAAAAAATTTTCAGGTCTCCTAAGGAAAATGGCAGGTAAAGTATTTTTTAAAAAATATTTTCTATATTATCTATTAAATGTGAAGGTAACTAGAAAATATGGAGCCAATATCCAAGGGAGGGAGCATAACTCAAGTCTTTAATTAATATCATTGAATGAGGAGATAGAAAATATGGAGCTGAAGTTCAGGGGAGCATGACTCAGTTCTTAGATCACTTCCACTGAATGAGGTAGTTTGAATATAAAGAGCTTAAGACCAGAGCAGTATGATTCAGTAATTTTGTCACTTCCATCATCAATACCTTGCAGGAATTGACGAACCTTTTCTACTAAAGATCAGTGGTAAATTTAAACCTCATAGAAATATAGTCCTTTCAGTCACCACCCAGCTCTCTAAGGTGAAGTAGACATAGAAACTATTCTAAACTAAAGATGTTACTGTGAAGAGTGTTACTGTGTTCCAATAAACATTACTTATTAGCACAGGTGTGGGAATCTATGATGATAATTCTAGAGCTTGGGAGAACATGGTAGGAAGATTGTGATTTTGATTTTGAGTTACGTAGTGAGACTCCATCCAGGAAAAAAAAAAACACTCCCCAAACTTTGTGTATACTGAAATATGAACTTTCTATGTCACAAAATAATTATTCTTTTGATTTTTCCAACTATTTAGAATGCAAAATTCACTTAGTCACAGACAGTAGGCTGAATTTAACTCACCAGCTGTTGTTTATAGACTACTTGTTAGACAGCTAACTGACAAATACTTTTAATATTGAGTTTTGCTTAATTTATGATAGAAATAATGACTCACATAAGTGAAAAGTATTTTTTTCGTGGGGCCTGAACTCTGGACCTGGGCACTGTCCCTTAGCTCTTCAGCTCAAGGCTAGTGCTCTACCACTTGAGCCACAGAGCCACTTCTAGCTTTTTTCTTTTTGCTTATGTGGTGCTGAGGAATCGAACCCAGGGCCTCATGCATGCAAGGCAAGCGCTCTACCACTGAGCCACCTTCCTAGCCCCAAAAGTATTTTTAAGTGTATGGTGTCATTTAATATTATAATCAAGTGCACTTCAAATGGTAAATGAAAGGAAGAATGCTCATCTCTTTTCCTCCCTCCCTCCCTGCCTCCCTCCCTTCCTTCCTTCCTTCCTTCCCTCCCTCCTTCCTTCCTTCCTTCTGTCATTCATTCTTTCTTTCTTTTGTTGGCCACGAGGCTTGAACTCTGGACCTAGGTGCTGTCCCCCAGCTCTTTAGCTCAAGGCTAGTGCTCTTCTACTTGAGCCATAGCACCACTTCTGGTTTTCTGGTGGTTAACTGGAGATAAGAGTCTCATGGACTTTCCTGCCCAGGCTGGCTTTGAATTTCAGTAGTTTCGTCTCAACCTCCTGAGCAGCTAGGATTACAGTTGTGAACCACTGGTGCATAACTGGATCTTTTCTTTTTTTTTAAAACTTAACTTTGTATTATCTTTAAATAGTTGTACAAAGAGGTTGCAATTCAACATTTCAATTAATGATTACAATGCATATGGAACAGTGTCACTCTTCCATCATTCCCTCCTGCCCCTCTCCCCATCTATCCTAACCCTGCCAGTCCCTTCAAGTTAACTGGTTGGTTCCTGTTTTACATATATACATTGAATATTATGATTGCTCAAGAATATATCTTTATTATATTTTTCCCATATATTTAAAAAACATTTGAGGCACACAATCTCTTTCCTTGTCTGATTTTCTGCAGAAAGAGTAACCAATTCAGATGTTAATTATACAACTTTTTCTTTCTTTTTCTTTTTTTCTTCAATTCCTCCTTTTCTTCCTCTCTTTGCCCCACTTCTTAAAATTACTACTTCCCCTCTGTGGGAGTCATATTAACACTACAAGCAATTTTTAAGGTTATGTGAAAAGACCAACTTTGTAGAGATGGAGGTATGATCTCTCTTGATTGGAAAGAGCATGTGCATTGCCTCTAAATGGTTATGAAGAATAAAAATATATGAGCATCATATACATGTTCTAAACCATTCTTTTTAGATACAGACAATGCTTCCGATTAATTCAGGAATGCTGAATAATGTCATTTAAGCAAAACATGTTCAATTGTCTTGTCTATCTGCATTAAGTGAACAAACTTGACTATCTCCCTCCCCCCTCCATAGTAGTTTTCAAAAAGTATGTTAGATGATTAGGACATAGAACTGAATAATATTTGGCTGTTATGCTCTTACTGGTAGAGGGGAGAGAACTTGACCATGAACTATCTTCAGTGCTCCTAGAGGAAAAGTTATCTGAGCTGAGGTTAAAAAAAGAAATAGGCGAAGAAAGTGTGCATAAATGTGTGCATGTGCATGTGAGGATATATGGTATGTGAATAGCAGAAAGAAGCCTGTGGACAGGCAAGTGTGGGGCCTGTGGTTTCAGGTCATCGGAATGACCCAAAGCTCTCGTTGGGCAATGTGGCACAGCAAGGTAAGTTCTGACCAGTAGGTGTCCCTCTTTCTGTTTTATTTCATCTTGAAGCCACCGTGGATTATATTAGCAAACTTTACCAAACTTCTTTCCTCATAAGAAAAATGGAAACTTATACCTAGTACTTTAGCATACACAATGAAAAGGCTTTCATTGCTTAAGAGATTGAGAAAAGTTCTAGACCACAAGAAGATGTTTTTACCACCCAAAGCATCAGATTGTCAGAATACCAGCCAATTACTTTTAATAACTCTAAGCCCCACCCCTAGGAGGAAAGCAATGTTGAAGTGACTCAGTGTTTTTCCTGTCTGATTTAAATAAAAGCCTTTCCATGCTAATAGGGACAGGAGCATAAGAGAATGTGGTTGTGTATATAGCTGTTAGATGTGTCAGCTTCATGGAATCACCTGTAGTTCAGTGTTATCTGCCAACGCAGGCGAGGCCAGATAAAAACTAGCCTATGTTCCCAGGAACAAAAAAGTGTGTGGGGGGATAGGAAGGTGGCTCAGTGGTAGAGTGCTTGCCTTGCATGCATGAGGCCCTGGGTTCGATTCCTCAGCATCATATAAGCAGAAAAGGCCGGAAGTGGTGCTGTGGCTGGCTTAAGTGGTAGAGTGCTAGCCTTGAGCTGAAGAGCTGAGGGATAGTGCCCAGGCCTCGAGTTCAGGCCAAAAATAAAATAAAATAAAATAAATTTTTAAAAAAGTGTGTGTGTGTGGGGGGGGGGGCTCTTTTAAGACAAATTCTGGCTTCCCAGACTATAAAATAGCATAAAGGATACCCATTGATCTATTTAAAATGAAAAATCCATCTGTCAAATGTTCAATTACTGCATTGGCTGACTCATGCATTCTCTCTCCACGGATGGGTCTGTAAGGTGTTATAATCAAAAGTCACCTTGGAAAGCTTGGAATTAGAAAAGGAAGATGGATGATCTCAGTGATCCTTCTCATTAAAACAGGGTAGCTTGATGTGATCTGTCTTCAGCCTAGGGATTTAGCTCACAAAAAAGCCCAATACACTTTTACTAGACAGTAACATAAATTATTGACCAGAATTATTTTTTCGTTCAAGTCCAAGATTTCATCCTTATTTTGCGGATACTTGTTCTTTAGATGTCACCAATAATTTGATTAGTCGGAGGCAAGTATAGATGTCTATTTATCTACTGGATACTAGGAATCTCTTAGAGGTATTTCAGGATGGCAGTAGTAATCAGAATATATATGTCCAAAAAAAGATGCTTTTAATATTTTTAGGCTTAGATATTTGCTGTGAAATGACTGAAAAAGCAAATTGCTTCCATTTCTCATCTGCTGTGGGTGGTTTATCTTTGGAAGGTAGCAGCCTATCCTTTCCTGTGGAGGGATTTGGTGTGCCTTGCAGGCTGTTGCCTATGATGGCTGTGTGTCGAGACAGACCAAAGCACAGAGCTGTCATCGTAATGACTGTTTCTAATAACAGTTTAATTTAAGTGAATAGAAATGTCTGATAGTAGTTCAGAATACAGGTGCTGGGGTCAGATTTGTGTTTAAATCCTGGTCTACCACATCTCTGTTATGGAAAAACAAATCTTTTAACTATACCTTATGACACTTCCAACTAGAGTAATAAACAAATATGAGCAGATTTCTTGGGTTTTAAATCAGATAGGAGAAATAATAATGGAGAAAGAAGAAAGAAGGCTGTTAAGGAAGAGAAAGCAGTTAGCTTTGAAAGAGGAAAGAAGAGGTGAGAATGTGGGGGACCAAAGGATTCAGATGTTCTGAGTCTTTTTTAGGTTGACTGTGGCTTCCTTAGAGTTTTTACTATATGTTTGAGCTATGACTCCCTGTTCTCTGGGAAGGAGGAGGAGATGGAAAAAGGCCTCCTAGAGTTTTCAGAGAATGTAGATGGAATCCAGGCCTTTTCAGACTCCCAATCTAGGTCTAATTCTGGATGTCTATAGATGTCAAACTACTTTCTTTGTGCTTTCTTAGTTGGACCTCATCTTTCCATTTTCATTCACAGTGGTATAGATGTTCTCTACACAGTTACCTTCAATGCTGAGGCCATCAGCAATACCACATGGGACCTAATTAGCCTTCATTCCAACAAGGTGGAAAACCACGGCCTTGTGGAAATGGATGATAAACCCACTGCTGTTTATACAATTAGTAACTTCAGAGATTATATTGCTGAGACACTGCACCAGAACTTTTTGCTGGGGAATTCCTCCTTGAATCCTGATCCTGAGTCTCTTCGGCTTATTAATGGTGAGTTTGAGATCCATCATGAAGTCCTGGTATCATTGTAGTTTCTTTTCTAATATGCTATGGTAAAACAAAAACAAAAACAAAAACAAAAAACAAAAACAAAAAAAACTAATTTCCTTAATTCCCTATGTGGCCCTGAGCATCCCTGGACTGTAAGAGACAGGAACCTGCCTATATGTGGAGCTTCATACATAAAGCTATTTTGGGCTCTTGGAATATTTGTAGACAGAGTGGGAAAAGTGGAGAATATCATGGCATTGAGAAATAGTTTGAAGAAGCAAGAGGAAAGTGTAAGAGAAAGAAACTGGAGCCTGAAGTGTGAACTGAAATGGCTATTTTGCATTAAGCAACCAAGACACAAATTCTAGAGGAAAGTCAGCTGCTTATGGGTTAAAAGCCCAAGCGCACAGAGGAAGAACAGCTGCAGAAAGCAGATGGATGGTCTTGATCAAAGAATTGGGTGCAGGGTGGAATTCCAAAGTACTAAGTATGAATTCACATAGCTGTGTTGACCTACTTATGGTTCATGATGAACAGTTAGGTCTGGAGCTATCAAGATGGTGACCTCTGAATTTGGAGAGTAAAAGAGTTTCCAGTCAACCTATGACTAAGGCTTGCATATTGCTGCACTACTGGGGCACATTTTAACTCTTCAGGAACACAGTACCCCAAGTTACTTGCTACTTTGTGTTGACTTTTCTATGACTTCTTCATGTACTTGTAGGTTAGCTTTTAAAACTTCCAGCACAATATTTTACTAATGTGAGGGTAGGAGAGAAATACCAGCTGCTACAAATGTAAGAGGCAAGCCTAGCAATGTGAGGGTTTTAGTTTCTTAATCACCCGCCCACATATTCTTAGGAGGAAAAAGCTCCTATTCTTTGTTTAAAGGAAAACTTTTTTCTTTTTCTTTTTTTGTTGGCTGTGGGGTTTGAACACAGGGCCTGTGCAATCTCCCTGAGCTCTTTTGCTCAAGGCTAGCATCCTACTACTTTGAGCCACAGTGCCACTTCCAGCTTTCTGGTGGTTAATTGGAGATAAGAGTCTAAAGGACTTTCTTGCTCCGGCTGGCTTGGATCTGCAGTCCTCAGATCTCAGGCTCCTGAGTAGCTAGGATTATAGTTGTGAGCCACTAGCACCCAGCAAGACAACTTTAATTAAATTGAACAGTTTAATTGAGCAAAGACTGATTTGTAAGTCATGCTGTCTCTGGAAGAATCTGAGGCTACTAGGTGGCTGCATAATACTTGTACTGAGAAAATGAGAATGAGATAGAGACAGATCAATTGGCTTATTTATACCTAGCTTGATGAACTGAGCTGTTGTGACAGAATAGCATTCACTTGTGTATTACTAAGCACATTCTTAAGTTTTTATCATGTTCACATACTGAATTAGGTTGCAGCTATATATGTTAGGTTTTAGATTGTGTGCAGAAGCTATCTTTTTAACAGAGGCAATGCTTCCAGACAAGAAACTTGTTCATGTTTATAGTCCCAACTTTGGCAAAGTTTTGGTAATTAGTTACGATTCAGTAAATGTTTGTTGAACTAGATTATATAGACGACTTGCTTTTCGTTATTCATCTTTAACATTATCACAGTGACAAAGTTTTTGGTTTCCTTATTCATTTTTCAATGACTCTTTTTGCCAAGAAAAGGAATAATTTTATATATTTTCTACCAATTTTGTATTGACGAAATGAGTTAAAATTTGGTTCAGCTTTCTTCCCTAAAATGAAAAAATCAAATTGAAAATAACAGTTTTATAGAAACTAAAGATTTTATAGAAACTAAAAATTTTATAGAAATTAAAGAGTGAAAACTGTGCCTTTAGAAAAAAACCTTTTTTTGATTCATTGACATGAATCTTTATCTTATGTGGGATTCTTATAATTCAGACCGACTTTGCTAAAATACATAAAATATTTAAACATCATAAACATTTTTCTAGGTGAGTCTTCCTCACCTGTTCTGCATAAATCTAACTTACAATGAAGAAAAAAATTAGTTTTCAGTTGTTCTTGTACCTCAAATAAATCAGTGGCTCAACTAAAGATGTTCTTTAATATTTTTTCCTCAGTGAGAGGAGTTTTGCTTCCACAAACAGAAGACTCAGTTTTAAACACCCAAAGTTCAAGTTTTCAGTCAACGCCACCATCTATTCTGGTATGTTTCGGTGTTTTATGCCTAGAACCAGACCCTTAAACTACTCTTCTTTGCATCCTTACTCAACCTGCTTGCTTTAGCATTATGATTTTCCCAAGTTGTTCCAATTTCAGATATTCTCATGCATCATCCCATAACTATTACTCATGGTTGTCAGTTTATGAGTACCAAGTGTTGGTTCAGAAAATGTAAGCCTTCCGCACTGGTTAAATGATGCCTGCATCTGCCAAACTCCATGCATGGTAGAAAACTTATTATTTATAGTTCAGACTTGTGTGGTGATAATTTAAGTATACATGCCCACTGGGTTGTTTTCTAAGCTACACAAAAATAGTTATAGGGGTAACTGTAAATTGATATACATAGTATACATTTTTATTTCAGGGATTATATGTAAGACAGTTTAGAAATCAAAGCATGTAAAACAGTGGGTATGGAAAGAAGAAAAGGCAGAATAAAAATATCTACTAGCTGACAAATCATAGACTTTAAAATCAAGCCTCCTTTTAAATTGGAATGAAAACAGCTCATTTGCATATAATAACATGGAATACACTTCCCTTTTTTATCATTCAACTGCATCAAAAATTTGTCTTCCCCCTCTACATCTCTGTTTTTCACTTTCCCCTCACGTGTAAGGGCCCTCCAGTAGAAAGGAAAAAGACATTAAAATAATATCATCTACAACCATAACAAGAGATTTCCCTGTCTGCAATGAGTACATGAATCTCTTATTATCTCATAGGCACAGAAGGGGACCTCCCATCTTATTTACAATCCTCATTCCTTAGGACTTCCTTTTTTTCTCCTATCAGCTATTAGCAAGACTTGTTTTTTGGCATTCATTGAGCAATGGAAATTTAGAAAGCCTGCCCCAAATTCATTTAATAGTTTGTTTTGCAGCTATTTCTTCCACACAGATAAAACAACTTGGTTTTAAAACATGGAATCACTGGTTACAGTCTTTTCACTGAATTTCATGTTGGAAAAAAAAAAGGTTCAGGTTATTGACATCAGAGATTATATTAACTGGGTGGTTATTTTATTCATTCATTTATCCATTCATTCAAATATTTATTTTGTGCTTTTCATGTGCCAAAAAGTGTTGGGGAAACTCAGAGGAACAAGGTGTGGCACTGCCTACAAAAATTTTCCAGCCTCCTTAGTAAGCAGACTTCTAAACAAATAGAACGATGAAGATATTATCCTGGAAGTCTACCCAGGTTGCAATGGCAGAGAGAAACAATGGAACCACTACTCTCTGAGGAACCACTTGTTTCTGCATCTTCTAACCACATTCAATCTGAAGTGTCTCTAATCACTGGAGATCTAGGACAACATTTTAGAAACACAGTATAAAAAAGAATGTCAGCTGGCTTAATACCATCTATTCAGGGAGTGGATGTCAAGAGGACCATGAGTAAAAACTTTCTGAGACTCCATCTTGCTGTTCACGTGGCATGTGTCTGTTATACCAGCTTTACTGGAAGCGAAAATAGGAGGATCACTATCTAAGCCAGCTAGGTCATAAACACAGGCCCCTATTTGAAAAATAACTAAAAAGCAAAAAGATTAGGCACTGTAGCTCAACCAATAGTTCCTTTCTTCCTCTTTCCCTCCTTCCTTCCCTCCCTCCCTCCCTCCTTTCCTTCCTTCCTTCCTTTCTTCCTTCCTTCCTTCTTTCCTCCCTCCTTTCCTTCCCTCCCTCCCTTTTTCCCTTTTTAGTAAGATTACCATAGAATTTTATTAACTAGATTTGATTTTTAAAAATTACTTTAGAGGTTAAAATGCTGTGATGTAGTAAACTTTCTATAGTACTAGAAAGCTCTTCAAGGGGGCACTAGGAGAAGTGAAACTGGCAGATATAATTTAAACTTGTCAGTTTACTACACTGAATTAAAAAAGAATTTATGAGTTGAATTTGTGCTATGGGAACATTATTGGTAGAAAAATAAATGAAGTGCTATTCCTGGCATAATATGCTCACCTTTAAACATGTATAAGAAAGCATTATACGATGTAATTTTTAAGGGGTGTTTACTTGGAATTTGAAGTCAGATTATTTAGAATGACAACTAAAAAAATTATTTCTTTGTCTTTTTAGGTTAGATTTTTGACAGAACAAATGAAGCTAACCTTGCTTAGAAAATGATTTTGATAAAATTTGATCTTATAAAATTTGTTATACTCACACAATGTACACACTCAGTCCTTCCACCACAAGATAAAAAACAACAACAACAACCACCAAAGAATAGCTTTACAAAGCCTCTGAGACTTTGCTAAAGCAGGTTGTATTCATTTACATTTTTCTTCCCTTTTACATTTAGGACTTGAATTCATTATATTCTTTTTTTTAATCGTGATACTGTACAGAGGGGTTACAATTACACGGGCAAGATAATCAGTACATTTCTTATCAAGTATTGTAGCCTCCTCCTTTGTTTTCCCTTCCCATCCCTTCCTATCCTCCCCCCACCCAATCCTACCCTCCCCCACACCAAAGTTGTAAAGTTCATTTTCGACATAACAACTTGTACATCTCATTGTTGCAATGGGTCTACCTGTATCCCTAGTTAAACGATTTGTTTTTTCCCTTCCCTTCCACAAATTATAACAACATCAAAAACTATGAAAACAGGGATTATACCGTGGGGGAGGGACATACAAAGCAACACAGAAATAATCTTATAAATAAGTTAGAAACAATCGCATGAAAGAAAAAAACATTTGAATACTTATCTTAGAGTTCATTTCCCTAACATCAACTTATCTGACCTTTTCTGCTTGACTCAGACATATACTAGTTATTGCAAATAAGGGAGACCATGGGACCTATGTTTCTTTGGGCCTGGCTTACTTCACTTAATATAATTTTTTCCAAGTCTTTCCAATTCCTTACACATGGGGCAAGGTCATTCTTTTTGATGGAGGCATAGAATTCCATTGTGTATATATACCACATTTTCTTGATCCATTCTACTGAGGGGCATCTGGGTTGGTTCCATATCTTAGCTATGGTAAATAATGCTGCAATAAACATAGTCATGCTGGTAGCTTTCGTGTGGACTTGTTTGTAAACATTTGGGTAAATGCCCAAAAGTGGAATTGCTGGGTCATAGGAGAGCTTTATGTGGAGTCTTTTGAGAAACCTCCTACTGCTTTCCAAAGTGGTTGAACAACTTTACACTCCCACCAACAATGCAGTAAGGTTCCCTTCTGTCCACATCCCCTCCAGCATCTATTATATTCTTATTTATCTGGACTTTTACTCTTTCTATCTGGTCCATTCTAAGGACTCAAAATAATATTGACCTTGTAGGCAGCTTTTGTGTGTCTCTGTGATGTAGGATACCCTGTACACAGGCCAGTGATCACAAGTGCCTCCACTGTATACAGTTATGTAAGGTTGACTCAGCTCCTAGTGACTGCATCCTTCTAATGTATTAAAAGTTTACTAGATAACTGTTGAAAGTTGTCTCTCTAGTTAGATCATCCTTATTGGTCTGACTCATGAGCTAATTCTTACTTTTGGGTTCATATCTGCTCTGTTCTTAAACTTAAGTGTTGATATAAGACTGTTACTGAAATTGGATTTGAAGAAGGAAAACAGAGGGAAAGAAGCAATTGGAGTATGGGAGAAGGAATAAATTTGTTTAAAGCATATCTGTTTATGTATGGAAATGAAACTCATTAAAAATGTATATTAATTAAAATTTAAAACAAATAAAAATATACAATCAGAAATTAAAATTCTTGCCAATAGAAAATACTTAAAAAAGAGATTATTATAAGTAAAAACTAAGTTCATTGATTTTGTAGTCTAGTGGCTATTACATTAGTCACTAGAAAAAGAAAATTGTATTTCAAGGCATGGCTATGTGTTTGAGATAATTAGACCACCCTTTAAAATTTTATTTATTATGTATATATATTTTTTTTGGGGGGGGGTCCGGTCGTGGTGCTTGAACTCTGGGCCTGGGTGCTGTCCCTCAGAGGCTCTTCAGCTCAAGGCTAGCGCTCTACCACTTGAGCCACAGCACCACTTCCGTTTTGTTTTTGTTTTTGCTAATGTGGTGCTGAGGAATTGAACCCAGGGCCTCAAGCATGCAAGGCAAGTGCTGTACCACTGAGCCACCTTCCCAGCCCCTATTATTTATATTTTTATTAAGTAGTTGTAAAGTGACATTTTTGATGAAAATGGGAGACTTTAATCAATCACTTCTCTTTCATAATGATGAATAAAATTGATAATTGTCTCTTCCTGCTATGTGCAGTGTGCTTTGTGTGTAGGTCTTTGTCAACAAGTTATTAACAACTTCTGCATATTAAAGTCAGTTAAGCTAAAATAATAGAAGTGAGCCGTCTAAAGTAAATGAAACAGTATTTTCTCCTGGAAATTCACTTTTGTGTAGGGTCTTTCAAATATCTTATTTCATCGGCCCCCTTTTTACAGATGAGTTTTGAGAGGTTACATAGATTATATTCTCTAGATTCTCGATTGAGCAAGTGGCTGAATTGGCATTTGTCTCAGATCTGTTTAACTCTGGAATAGTTGTCCTTCCCCCACCCCCTACTACTGTATCACCTCACTTTCCCTGGAAAATCCAGATATTAGGTAGGTGAAATTCAAAGTCCTTTTGTGTTTCGGTTATTTATGATATGATTTAACCTTTTTCTCCCCCCTCCCTGCCCCCAGGATAATACCATTCCAGCTGAATGGCCCTCAGCAGATGAATCCACCACCAGCAAAATTTCACCAGTTGGTTTCAGCTCTGGTCCTCCCTCAACCACTGGCAGGGAACTGTGGTCAGAAAGTGCATTGAGTGATTTAGTGTCTACATCTAAATTAGTCTTCCCCTCGGAATTGGGCCTCAGTTCTTCCCCAGAGGTATTAGATGTTAGGCGCTTGACTCTTCATTCTGTGACCCCAGCAGTGCTTCAGACTGGTTTGCCTGTGGCTTCTCAGGAGGGAACTTCTGGATCTCACTTATTAGAAGATGGTGAGGAGTTTTAAGCACTTCTTTTACTTCTTAATTGTATCAGAATGACAAGAATTTTGAAGAGAAGAAGGAACCATATTATGAAGAGAAAAGCATAGTAGCATTTATTAGGGGAAAAATATCTTAGGAAATGTATCTGAAAGAATATCAGATTTCACTGGGCAAAATGGAGAATCCAAATTGGTATAGTAATCAGAAATAAACTTGGGGAGGTGTTGTAAAGATCAATGAATAGATATTCTTTTTATTTTATTGTAAAGATGCTGTAAAGAGGGGTTACAGTTAGGTGAGTAAGGCAATGAGAAGGTCAATTAATAGATATTTTGAAGATCATATTGATATGTATATAATTAAATTACTGTAAGTAAAGAACTTCACTTACTCACGTATGAGGGCACATGACAGTACCCAAGACGATTATTCCAGTACTTTCCAATTAGTAGTGTTAATTATGTATTAATTATTGGATTCAGTTTAAATATTTAAGGTTATAGTAGTATAGAAAAGAGGAGATCTGAACTAGAGGAGCTATGGAAGAGAATGAAAATGAAATGAATGCTCTTATGTTGTTGAGGAAAGGAAACCATCAATGTGACGTCAAGGTAAAGAATGTACATGAAAGAGAAAGACAAACAAAGTTATAAACAAACAATGAATCTAGGATTTTGAACACAGGGGGGAATCTGAAGGAAAATGCACAATAAGCACAATAGTGAAAATAAGAATTCAGAGAAAAACACAATTTCCAGGAAACTTTCTCCCTAAATTTCTGGTGGATTCAGTCTTGAGTAATCAATATGGCAGTTAATTTCCCTGAAAAAGAAATGGGAAGTTTGAAGATTATTTTGTTCAATAATCAAAGTCTTATGCTCATAGAAAGGGGATTATATTCATGAGTGATTGTCTCACATTATAGATTTGTGATTATAACTTCTTGCATGCTAAAGATAGCACACAAGCCAACAACTGTCCTTGATAACTAGAAAAATAGCTAGTTTTATTAAGAACAGTAGGAGAATATTTTGGCTACTTTGTAGATTAAGAAAAAAATAATTTTTAGAATTAGCCAATATTGAAGAGTCAAATGTTCTTTCTACAGATTCATTACCTTCAAGTGCATTCGTTCAACCTGTGCCAAAAGGAACAATACCATCTATAGAAGACTCGCTTGTGTCCCTGACATCCTCACCATATCTAACCTCATCTGTTACATTAGATCTTCTTGATAAAGAAATGACTTTTGAATTGGACTCCTTGGCCTCCAAAGTCACAGACCAATTAGAAGTGGAGCCTTTGTTTCCTGATACATCTGTGGAAAAAGAGGTCATATTTGAGAGTGGTTTAGGTTCTGGGTCTGGGCAAAAGGAGGAGCTGATAACTTGGCCCTGGAGTGAGACTTCATTAGACAAGAGCACTGAACCACTGTCCAAGCCATGGTTTGAGGATGAGGATTCACCTTTGCCAATTAAAGGTAGAGGTGAGAAACTACATACAGATGGAAAAATGGATTCCACAGATCTAATTATTGAACAGTCAAAACACAGTCAGGATGATAGACACATACAGTTTGCAGAAACAGAGGACCTCAGTGGACCTACCACCATACCCACCTTTGTAGAGTCTGTTACTCAGTCTGCATCTCTCATATTTTCCAAGCACATATCAGAAGTATCTGACATTGAGCATTACTCAGTTACAAAAGCACCACTTCTACAGACATCTATAGCAAGTTCTGCTTCTGCTGAGAAAACAGAGCAAGTGGATGTCTTTCTAAAGGAGCACATAGAACAAACAACAGATTCATCAGGCCATGAATTGCTTGACAGCAAGGTTTCAGAGGTGAAGGCAGATATGCAATCTGTGTGGACCATATTGCCAGAAGCAGATATAGTTTGGACAAGAACTTCCCCGGAGAAACTGTCCAGAGATACAGTGGCAAGTACACTGATGAGTACTGATAGACCCTGGTTGAAATCTTCCATGACACAGTCCACTAAATTGCCTTCAACCACAAGTTCCACCCTGCTAGAGGATGAAGTAATAATGGGTGTACAGGATATTTCATTAGAACTGGACCGGGTAGGCACAGATTACTATCAGCCTGAGCTAATCCAAGAGCAAAATGGCAAGCTTGGTAGCTATGTGGAAATATCTACAGAGAAGCCTATTGTGGCTCAGCCCACCAAAGGAGGTGACACAGGTGACACTCAGACCACAGGAGCTTTGGTGGTTTTCTTCAGCCTTCGAGTGACTAATATGATGTTTTCAGAAGACTTGTTTAATAAAAACTCTTTGGAATATAAAGCCCTGGAGCAAAGATTCTTAGAATTGGTAAGCTCAAAAAGTTGACATTAGGGAATAAATGTCTGACTCTCCCACATTCTCAGCACACCCAGGGAAGTGTGATCTGTAAGTATTCATTTCCTGTCATTCGCAAATACCACCATGGCCTAGGGCTGGTAGGAGGACAGTAAGATAGGTGGAAATGGAAAACAAGAAATGGAAAACACAAATGTGGATTGGGCTATGACAGGCTATGACAGGCTAGATACTGAAGATTGTATAAGAAGAAGGCTGGTACTGAAATGAAATGCGAAGTCATAATGTTAATATGGTATCATTGTCTTTGGAGGTACTCATGCCTTCACTGTTGTGATTCTTTAGTGAAACAAAGCATAAACACTCTAGGTATCTGAAATGGTTTACGAGTTTCATAGAATTCCTCAATGTCACTGTGACAATCTCATGACTTTCCTAACTTATTTCTCTCAGTAATCATTTCTTGTTAACTAACAGTTTAAATGTGGATAAAATACAACTAGGAAAAAGGGGAGAGGGATTCATGCCTGTTCTTTTTGTCTCTTTGGTGTATATTCAACAAAATGCAGAACCTTATTAATAAACATCACTTTTCTGTTATTGTAGTTGGTTCCCTATCTCCAGTCAAACCTCACAGGCTTCCAGAATTTAGAAATCCTAAACTTCAGAAATGGCAGCATTGTGGTGAACAGTCGAATGAGGTTTGCCAAGTCTGTACCTCCTAATGTCAATAATGCTGTATATCTGATTCTGGAAGACTTCTGTACTACAGCCTACCAAACCATGAACTTGGATATTGATAAATACTCCCTGGATGTGGAATCAGGTAATGATATTGCTTACCATGGTAAATTCTTAGTAAAATCCAATGATTATTCTTGTATGTTTTATTTTTCATTGAGTTAAGGTGAATCTAATACTTAATAGAGTACTATGTTAGACAGTTTTTTTTGTTGGTCCTAGGGCTTGAATTGTGGGCCTGGGTGCTGTCCCTCAGCTCTTCAGTTCAAGGTTAGTTAGCTCAAGGTTAATTTTATACATCTTAAGAATCAAACATTTTTCCAAAGACAACAGTATCATCTCTTCTCACCTCCCATTCCCTCTTCTAAACATTCTTTCCAACCCTCTTTCTTACTTATCTACTGAATCTGTTTTTACTATGTCTTTATCTTGCTATGTCCCTCACAAAAAAACAAAACAAAACAAACTTGGTCACTCTTCATACACATACAAACACACACACACACACACAATATCTTGTCAGTAAGCTTACCATTTTCATGTATCGTAGATGTGTATATGTATATATATATATATATATATACATATACAGATGTGTATATGTATATATATATATATATATACACATATATTTTAAGGTTTTGTATTTGTCCTCATCCATTTAACTTTTATGTAAATGTCAGTGATATATATATGTATGCACATGTGTATTATACATATATCCACATATGTATATATACACCCATAAAAATTTTGTGTGTTGGTCCTGCATCTTGAACTCAGAGCCTCATATTCTTGCTCCCTTTTTTGTTCATGTCTGGCACTCTATCATTTGAAGCATACTTGTAGTTCTGACTTTTTTCTGGTTAACTGGAAATGAGTCTCCTGAATTTATTTAGGTTGTGACAAACTTTGATCCTCAGATCTCAGCCTCTTGGGTAGCTAGGATTGTAGCCGTAAGCCGTAAGCCATAAACTGGCTTACACCCAGCTCCTTTCCATATGTTGAATGCATATAAAAATTGCTTCTGAGCTCTAGAATCATTATTTAATTACCTATTTCACCATCTCTACTTGGATATATTTGATGTATTCTGTATATAGCAAGCTAAAAAAGTTTCAGAGTGAACTCTTGTTTTCTTCATTTACTCACTTTCCAGTTATCTCTACTCATTTGAACTTGACTATTTCCATAAATGGAAGAGTTATCTATTCAACTATTTAAGTGGGAAATTGCAGACCTATTCCCAGTTGTGTATTTTTCATCATACTCCCTAGCCCTCAATTTTCAGCTACTCAGCAAGGTTATATTGATTCTGAATTCTGGCTGTACTTCAAATCCAGGCTCTTATCTATATTGCCACTGCAACTACTCTATCCATGTCACTGTTACCTCTCATTTTTACCACTTTTCCTATTTCCTTCCTTGCTCTCACTTCAAATCATTCTCCAGGAAGCAGCCATTAAAAACAACAACAGTGATCAGAATGTTTCTCTTTCAATGATTGCTTGGTTCGGCAGCTATGACCTGACCCGCAACTTCTTTCCCAAAACCATCTGGTCAAACTAGCTTTTTTTTTTTTTAACTAAGAACTTTCTAGCCAGAATTTAGCATAGTGCTTTGAACAACGAATGTACTCAGAAATACTGTGAATAAGTAACATGAAGTATTGTACTTATTTTGGTTTTATTAAAAATTTTTTTTGGTGTTTTTGCATCAGTACTTTATCTCTTAATGTTTGTGCTCATCACTGCATATAAAATCTTGGATGTATCAGTGTCAAAAAAATTTTTTTTGGTGGAACTGGGATTTGAACTCAGGGACTTATGCATGTCAGGCCCTTTTTATGGAGCCACATCTCTAGCCCTGTTTGCTGCTGATTATTTTTAGGATAAGGTCTCACTTCCCACTGGGTGAGTACTTAAGCTGTGCTCTGCCTACTTTAGGCTTTCTGTTTCTTTCTGGGTTCACAGGTATATGTCACCATGTCTAGTTTCTGTGTTGAGATGGAGTCTTGCAGGCTTTTCTTCCTGGGCTGGTATCCTCCAAACTCAGCCTCCCACAAAGCTTGGGGTGTGTGCTACTGTATTCAGGGATCTCCTGAACTCTCCCCTTCAAACTGGTCTTGAATGCAACCCTATTCTCTGCCTTTCACATACCTACAATTAAAAATCCTTATTTTAATTTTGCAGACTTCAGTGCAGGGAAGTTTTATTCCTTTTTCCTTTTGCCTATCAGAGGATAGTGGCTTTGAGTCAGAGTAAGGTGGAATGTCTAGGTTCATACTTTCCAGTGCCTTCACACTCAAACTAGTTTGAAAATGAGCTCTATTTTTTTTTTAACCAGGAAAGAAACAAAGATACTTTTATTTGGAATCCTTGAAGGACAATTATTCATTGAAAGTGAGGGAACTGATTTTGCTAATTTGCCAACATGCAAATCCCTTGACACTTTCCTACGCTAAGGCTCTTTGCACACATTGCCTTGTGATTTAGGGGAAGAAGCAATTAGTTGTAAGTTGAAAGGCAAGAATTTTGGCTTTTCTCTGCCATTTATCATCTGTGTGACTTTAGATGAACTATTTTATCTCTAAGCTTTAGTTTCTCAAAATTACCTGGCCTGTGTAGTTTATGTGTCTGGTGTAAGCATTAAACAAATAACATATATAAAAGCACTTGACTAGCTCCACAAATGTAAGCAGTTATAATTTCTAAAAGTTTTGCAAAACTTGATCCACTTTTTTGGTTGTTGTATGGCACTGCAGATCACAAGTATCACCTCCCATATATCGTAGTATAAGCAGTTAACAACTGAACTATATTCTCAGTCCCTAATCAACTTCTTTTTAAAGGAATTACATAATACATTTTTCAGATTTTTGTGTAACTCACCTATCAGTTGCAGGTCAAGCCACCCAGGTTTTTTGAGTGACTTTTTCCTTCTATGTTCAATGAACTGGCAGGAGTCCTGTCCATGTACAGTATAAAACCTTTGTCTTAATCACCTCCAGTTCTAAGTTCCTTCCCAATTTTTAGTTTCACATATATCTTGAACCTTCTGATTATTCTTTACGTCAACTTAGTATAGATATTAGTCTCATTTTTAAATGTTCCACAAACATCCATAACATAACGTAATTGATTGTATCTGATATTTGCTTGTGGTTTAAGAGTAATGGGGAAAGCTTTTTATAAGCATAGCAGATGGTTTAAAAATATTATTGTTAGGCATAACCATTCTTAAATTCCTCAGTCATCTTCCCAAGGGCATTATCTGACTTACCCGCTTTTCCCCAGAACTCAGCCAGCTACCATGTTGTTCTGGCCATGAAGCTTTCTTTCCAGATCCTGTTCTTTCCTCTTCTCTCATTTTCCAAAGCCCATAAATCCTTCACTTAGGCTACTACTGGATAGCCAGAATGTGTATAATTCATTCTAGAAGTTAGATTCCTGCTTCCCATTCCAAACTTTGTTTCTTCATAAAGTCATTTAGGTAATTTTCTAAACTCTTCTGGGCTTTCACCATTAGCCAGCAGAAGGGATTGGAACAAAACTTTAAGACCTTAGTGCTTTATTTCCATGATTAAGGTATTAGGCTTATGTTTTTGAAGAAAAGTGGAATGGCATTTATTTTTTCTATATTAGTATGTTTTTCCTAATCTATAATAGAAAATATTAATTCTGTTCTTCCTCCCACTAATAACTGTAGAATGGCCACAAATTTTTTTTTTTGTTTTTGTTTTTGTCGGTCATGGGGCTTGAACTCTGGGCTTGGGTGCTGTCCCTCAGCTCTTCGGCTCAAGGCGAGCGCTCTACCGCTTGAGCCACAGCACCACATCCGGTTTTCTAGTGGTTTATTGGAAATAAGAATCCCATGGACTTTTCTGCCCTGGCTGGCTTTGAACCATGATCCTCAGATCTCAGCCTCCTGAGTAGCTAGGATTACAGGCGTGAGCCACTGGCGCCCGGCTTTAAGTTTTTTTAAAAGAGAATTTCCCTACATGTGTATATTATGAAAGATTAAAAGTGATCATTTTATGTCAAGACTGGCTCAGACAAGACTGACTTGTTTGTCTGAGTTTTTCATGTGCAGTATCTTAGAAAATTTCACTTTCAGCAACAAAGAGGAATGAGGAAATGTCCTCCTTCTCACCCACTATATATACTCTATTTCTCATTCCAGGTCAAGATTATGATGCCTAATGACTACTAGGCCGTGGGTGCAAAGAAGTCAGAACTACATAATGAAATCCTGCTGTGCAGTCCCCTTCTTGAAGCTACCTGTCTATCAGTAGTACATTTGTATGCTCTTCTTGTTATAAGAGCATCATCTTGGCAGTCTCTCCTATCTTGGTTTCCTAAGGCTGTTTTAACAAGGTGCCATTACTAGTTGGCTTATAACAACAATTTATCCTTTCATGTTTTTTGAGCCTAGAAATCTAAAATCAAAGCTCAGTGTCATGCTCTTTCCAAAAGTTCTATCAAAGAATCTTCCCTTGTCCTTTCCCAGCTTCTGGTTTCTTCTGGAAATCTCCTGACATTCCCTGACTTGTCATTTCAGCATCTGCCTGTGTCTATACATAGTCTGTTTTCCTGGAAGGCTCATCCATGGTTAATGCATTACATCAGTTTTGACTAGTTACTGCCCTCCTTCACTTTTTGGTCATTTTCTCCTAGCCCACCAATGAAAAATGAAGTTACTGTTCAGAGGAGCCTAAAGAGGAGGCAGAGATGATTTCTTTTTCTAATACTGGCTTCCCCAAATCTAGACTGCTCCAAAGACTGCTCCTATACCAAGCTCTGAGGCTCCTGCCATTTTTTCCCTGGGCTCTCTCTTCATCTCATGGTCTCATTGTGGAAAGTGACATAGTAGTAAATGCAAAGTAGAGGTGGCCTATAGCAAAATGGGCCTTGTGGAAATGAATGGCAAATGGTATATGCTGTAGACAGACACTTACATGACAGTGACTTTAAAGCTTCTGCATAATTCCTAAATAGGACATACAGAAACTTACCAGGTTATAGGGTTTTATGATTCTGCTCTTAGTATTTGTGTACTTCATTAGCTCAAGATGGTTGTCCCATGGTACTTTAAGGAAAGAACTTTAAAGACTTCCTGTACCCCAACTGCCTTTCTATATTCTCTGGTTTGTTTGATATTTTAGGTGATGAGGCCAACCCTTGTAAGTTTCAGGCCTGTAATGAATTTTCTGAATGTTTGGTCAACTCCTGGAGTGGAGAAGCAAAGTGCAGATGCTTCCCTGGGTACCTGAGTGTAGATGATCTGCCTTGTCAGAGTCTCTGTGACCTACAGCCAGACTTCTGCTTGAATGATGGAAAATGTGACATCATGCCTGGGCATGGGGCCATTTGTAGGTATGTTGTAATTAGAGATAACCTTGGCTATAACCTTATAGATATTTCTTCTGAAGAAAATGGATGGGTACTATAATTTAGGGCAATCATTATACATTTGTTGTATGTAGGCAGAAGGTAGATGCTGTCCATTTCTCATGTGAAGATTGAGCCATTTAGCAGACTTGAATTATAAATCCAGTACAATTGGTTATATTATGCCATTGGAGAGCTCTGAAAAATTTTCTAACAAAATGTACTTAGAGTAACTTGAGATCTTTGTATTATACTTTTAGTGGTGATGATAAAAAACACAGTGTTCCAAACAAGGTTTAGACATCGATACTCTATCTGAAGGTGAAAGCAAAGGATTTTTATTGTTCTGCCTGAATTAATTCTTTTTTTTCATATTTGTATTAAGTAGTTTACAAAGGGGTTTCAACTTAGAAGTCATATTATGAGGACAATGCCTCTTGATCAATGTTACCCTTTCCATCATTCTCCTCTTGGAGTAATTCTTAATAACTTTGAGTTTCCTCAATTCCTACTGAATTTTCACCAACAAGGTATACTTGACATTTTTGAAAGGATGACAGATATATTTTCCTTTAAGTGCATCTGAATCCCCATTTTTTTGTACTGCTTTTGGTGTTTGAACTCAGGTCCTGGGCACTGTCCCTGAGCTTTTTTGCTCAAGACTAGCATTCTATCACTTGAGTCACAGTTCCACTGTTAGCTTTTTGCCGGTTAATTGGAATTCTTAATGCCTGAGGAAATTCATACTTCTTTGCTGCTCTGGGGACTAAAGACATTTTTACACAATGTTGTGGCCTTAGTGATGAAAGGGTTTCTTTAGTGTGGGATATAGAGAACTGGGTTCTAGACCCAGCTTTGCCCTGCTCTGATTGCATAATCTATTGCCAGTCACTTTTCTTCTTGGGTCTGTGTTTAGTTACCCATAAATAACGAGGTTGAATGGAATCATTTGTTGAAGTCTATTTAATATTTTATGTAGTCAATTATAAGCAGTTATTAAGGATCTTCTGAGTCTGCGCCAAGCATTATGCTTAGCATTAGGTCATATGCTAGTTTAACTTGTATATCAATATCCAGGTCTCTCTCTTCCCCTCCCTTACCCTCCCCTCTCTTTTCCTCTTCCATCCTCTCCTCTCCTCTCCTCTCCCCTCCCCTCCCCTCTCCTTTCTTCTTTCCCCTCCTTTTGCTTCCCTCCCTTCTTTCCCTTCCCTGCTCTCCTCCCTCTTCTTTTCCTTCCTTTCTCCCTTCCTTCCCTCCTTCTTTCCCTCCCTTTTCTCTCTCTCTCTCTCTCTCTCTCTCTCTCTCTCTCTCTCTCTCTCTGTTTCTTTGTCTCTATCTCTCTTCCCTTCCTTCCTCCCTTCTTTTTTTCTTTGCTGGAGATGGAACCCAGGGTCACATGAATGCTAAACATTGACAGAGAGCTATACCCCCAGGACTATATTCAACTATTTAATGAAGGTTTACATGGTCAAAGTTTGTATTTCTACCTTGCCCCTTTCCCACCAAAGGTTTTTCTGTTCATTATCACTTTGAGCCAAGTGATTCAAATCTTGGGTTTGGTGATGTTCTTTACAGATGCCGAGTGGGTGAAAACTGGTGGTACCGAGGTGAGCACTGTGAGGAGTTTGTGTCTGAGCCCTTGGTCATAGGCGTCACCATAGCTGCAGTGGTTGGCCTTCTCTTCATCTCTTCTGTTGTCATCTTCTTCTTTGTCAAGACTCTTCAAGCTCAGAATAACAGGAGAGAAAGAGAAAGGCCTAGCAGGTAAATAAGGGAAAAGCACGCTGACGGAATATAATGTTTTGTTGCTCATTCATTTAGTACTTACTATGTACCAAATAGCAAAGAGCTGAATGAGAGAGAGAGATACAAAGTTGATAAAGGCGTGGCTCTTTACAGTGGTATCTTTTGGAAAACAATGTAAGCAGCACTATGATGATCTGCTAAGGAGCCCAGATAAGGAATGAACTAGTTCTCCCTAGGAAAGACTTGCTAGGGAAGAGAGTCTTAAAAGTTTTAGCAATAGTTGTGATATTTTACAAACAGAGGAGTAAATACTTTTGGGGGGGTTGGGTGGGACTCTTTCCAGATAATTGAGTATAAGCCAAGTCAGAGGGGCATGCTCTGGAGGAAAGTCTTTTTTGAGTGTGGTCAGGGAGGATATAGTGAGGGGTTGATAGGAGATGGAAATGGTGTTTCCCTGTTGAGTGTTAGATGTGTTCAGTTTATTTCTCTTTGGCTTCTAATAGTGGCAATTAGATTATAAGGTTGGGTAAGGATCGGATAAGAAATCAAATCTGATTCTCTGTTTAGTTAAATGTGGCTCTATTAATGAGGGAAATACTTAGTAGACTAAGGATCTAAGGACTCCTTTGGTGGCTTTATGATTGTGAAGTGGCTGTTGGAGTTACTTCTGGTCAGTCTACTTCCTTCACCAGCTGGCAGAGGTGCCCCTCTTCCTGGTCCAACACCACCTAGGACATACCTCCATCCAGCATGGTTCTTATGTTTTGTATTGAATCTTAGTTTTCAACAAACTGCAACCTCATTTATGGCAGAGATTCCTATGGATTATTTGTATCACAGGCATCTAGAAAAACCCTAGGCACATGGCTAATCTCAGTATTTGTAGACCTGAATTGAACTTAACTGAGGCCCAGATCATCCCATCTCCTAATATTTGTGTTTGTTTAAATCATATTCTCTTGTGCTACCCACCGATTTTCCATATGTATAACTCTGAGAGTGCTAGAACTGTCTTTGTTTAATGAAATGCTGCCCGTGAAGACTTGCTTCCTAATCAAAATTTATTGAGTGTCAGGCACTGTGGGAAAATAAGATGAACGAAACATGGAATAGTGATGCCACGTGACAGTTTTTGAGATTCATCTGGATTCTCATGATTACCTTTCTCCCTGCTCCATTTGTATCCATTTCCCCTCTTTTTTTCAGAAACCTTGTCTAGATAAACAGTTATCAACTATTAGAGCAATCTTGAATCAGTATCTTTTTTTTGTGCCTTCAAAAGGCATCCTGACAGCCTGTCATCCATCGAGAATGCTGTGAAGTACAACCCTGCTTATGAAAGCCAGGTGGCTGGATGTGAGCAGTATGGTGGAGCTCAGTATCCCTGCTACAGTTCTGCCAGTGAAGAGGTGATTGGTGGTCTGAGTAGAGAAGAAATCAGACAGATGTATGAGAGCAGTGGCCTTTCCAAGGAGGTAAGGACTACTTTTTGTTTCTGTATTTCTCTCCTTTCTTCTCCTCCTCTTCCTCCTCTTCCTCTTGTTGTTGTTGTTGTTATTGTTGTTGCTGCTGCTGCGGTGTGTGTGTGTGTGTCCATGTGCATGGTTAATTCTTTTTTTTTTTTAATTGTGAAAATACCGTATAGAGGCGTTACAATTACATGGGCAAGATAATGAGTACATTTCTTATCAAGCATTGTAGCCTCCTCCTTTGTTTCCCCTTCCCATCCCTTGCATGGTTAATTCTTACCTCCCCCAAAGTGTAGTAGGCAAGGAGCATGCATGTGTGAGCTCTACTTTCTTTTCCATTGAGTGGCTACTTCTTCAATTATTAACAAATCCTCCTTCTTTTCCCTTTTCTTAGAACTACATATCAGTTAAAGTATCTTGCAGTGTCCACAGCAATAAATGTAGAATCTTCTATTTCTCTAGAGACAAGCTCTCCTTTGGGAAACTCCCAAACTCCCAATTCTGCCTAACATATAGAACTCCTAAAATTCTGTTGAAGTTTTTCAAATACCGGTTGTATCTTCTTCCTTTTTGTTTAAGGAAATTCAAGAGAGAATGAGGATATTGGAACTGTATGCTAATGATCCAGAGTTTGCAGCTTTTGTGAGAGAGCATCAAATGTAAGCATTCCAGAAGCCCTTTTGTAACCTACCAACTTTATAGTTTGTCTTATAGAAGTGTCACCAATGCAAGCATGTCATTCCTGTTCATGTGACAAAAGTTGTAGTGATGACCAAAATTGATTGGATTCTTGAAAGTTTATGCATGTTCTAACAGATTATTTCATGTTTTCCTTATAATGGCTTTATAAGTTGGATGTTTCTTAGTCAAGGAAAGGAAAACTTGGAAAAGCAAAGAGACTTACGTAAGGTGATAGTGATAACAAGCAGCAGAGCAGATCTAAACTATGTTTTGACCTAGATTTCCCTGGGCTATGTCAGTAATACCCTGTCTCAAAAAAACAAAAAACATAAAACCCAAAGGCATCTAAAGAAAGGCAACTGATAAGGAATTAAAATAACAGAAACCATCTATGAAACAAGATTTAAGATTCTATAAAACAAAAGGCAGCACATATAGCCTTCAGAGGGATGCATGTAGAGGGAAGATGTATTGAGAAAACTGTCGAGCCTGTTAAAGATGTAAGCACCTAATCCACAGAGCACTTTCAGTTTGTACTTGGTGTACTTAGTGTTCTCATTTACCATGTAGCCCAAAAATGTTAACAGACTTAAGATGTAGGAAGAGCATTACATGGTTTTTATGTTTTGTTTAACTTAGCACAACAAAGTTATAAATAAGTTATATACAGCTCCTCACTCCCACCCCAGACACCCTTTACTCCAGTGGAAGCAAAGAGAAAGCACTGATGATTTTGGTGATGTAGTACATTCGTGCCTTTCCACTGTATTGGTCTTTATGTTCTTTGTTTTTTTGTTTTTCATTGCAGGGAGGAGCTTTAACACAAATGCCTATCTCTGACATGGATTAGAAGTGTGAAGATGCCGACCACTGGTTAGCCGTGTCATGTAATTAATTTGGACTTTACTTTGAATACCACTGGAAGAAGACTCTTCCATGAAAAAAAATACATGAATGTGGAACACACACGATTTCCCTAGCTTAAAATCTTTATTTCTGCAAAGACCAAGAGCTTGTGTTAAAGAAAATTCAAAATCATAAGTTTTGGGAAATATTCTACTACAAAAGAAGGGGGATGAGGGAGAGGTGGGGAAGAGAGAGAGCGAGAAAGAGAGGAGGGAGAGAGAGACAGAGAGGAGGAGAAGAGAGTATGAGAGAGAGAGAGAGAGAGAGACCAGAGAGGACAGAAAGAGAGAGAAAGAGTATGAGTGAGAAATAAAAATCCAGTTCCCGGAGTTAGTGCTGCAGTTTCTGTCTGCTCCTGAGTCTTGAGATTTCTCTTAAGAAAGAATTGTGCCTCAAGTTTCCCAGATGGAGAATAATGTTAAGAGTATGGCAAGGAGAAGTTAAGTAAGTCTCTATTATGTAGCTGATTTTTTAATGTTGGATAGATGGAGGGAGTCTGGGAAGTAATTTTAATATAGTTTAAAGTAATTACCTACATAAAACATTACATTTTGTTTGGTTTTTAATTTAAAAAGTAATTGATAATTATTTTAAAACATTATAAATGTTAAGGATATTTGTCATAAATGCTTGGTTTTATTTGTAAAACTTTCAAAGGATTTAAGATTCAAAACTTTATTTTCCTAAGCTCATATGTGTTGGATGAAAAACAAATTGTTTATAAATCACAAATTAACACCAAAAGGCAGCTCTTTAAATGGGTGCTTGCTGGAAGAGTTCTAGGTGGCTATAAAGGTTGTCTAGGGCACATCGCCATGAAAAATACTCAGGAGAAGCACAGACTGAGCCAAAGGAGGACAGTTGTTTTCCAAGAGACAAGCAATGAAGGGAGAAGTTGGGAATTTTTGACACATGTCACTGTTGCTGATTTACTTTTGAATGACCTTTTCATGAAGGGGCAAATTACTGAGCTCTGTAAGAGCATCTGCTTCACAGCAATGAAATGAAAAAGAAATCTCCATCACAGTAAGGACAGGAGGTCTCAGTCTATACTTCCATGCTACCTTTTCTGTTATGGGAAAAAAATGAAAGAATTCAGGTTCTGCAGTGACCATCCACTGCTGCATGAGTCAGGTCAGTCACTGTAGCTAATCTATGGGGGAAAAGCCATCCCTAAAGAGCATCTCTTAAAAAGATATTTTCTGAAGGCAATTTAATGGTATGTTGTCATTGAGAAGTCTTAGGCCAAATTCCTATTTAGGAACTCTCATTTCATTAAGGAATGAAAATTTCTGAATATTAAAACATTGCCATTAACCTAGCAATGTAATATTCAATATCATGTTATTCAAAAGTAATAAAACAGAGTATTATAAAATGCATGGTAAATAACTCAAGCTTTTTCTGTCTCCTGGATTCATAAGGTACAGTGAGTCTTATAGATGTGTTATTTGATAAATAGATCCATTTTTATTATTATAATAGCTTAAAGATATTTGTTCACATTTATGTGGCTTAACATCCCACTTACTTACATAAAAAGATGAGTGTAGGTTTTGTTTGATTTTATTATACCTCTTTTTTTCTTTGTTTTGGGCTTGTTCCTGAGCTTCTTTTCCTCAGGTTAGTGTACTACCACTTGAACCACAACACCACTTCTCGCTTTTTCTGAGTAGTTTATTGGAGGTATGTGTCTCATGGACTTTCCTGCCTTGGTTGACTTTGAACTGTGATTCTCAGATCTCAGCCTCTTGAGTAGCTAGGATTATAGGCGTGAGCCATTGGCTCTTGGCTCCACCTATGTTTTTACTTTTGAAATATCTAGTCACCATGGGTTGGTTCTTCCTTCTCCAATACTTCTCCTTCCCATCCGACCACATAGTGAATTATAATGTAGTTAGACAACTGTAACTTAATATTACTTCTGACAAAATGATGGAAACTGCACAATTATTCTTTATAGGTACTAAACTATGTTGGATTAAATATGATACTTGAACTAGCAATAATATGCTTGTTTTATAGTTTTCCTTCCTTTTCTTGTTTAAGCAGTTAGTTTACCTTGGTGTCATTTTCATGTTGTCAGACATCTACTGTCTCTGAACTAACTTTTTATTTCACAGGAGGAAATGAATACACAAATTTATTTTTTAAAAAAGCAGATGATTTAGGAGAATGACCTATCTTCATAAATTGAGATATTTTATCCAAGAAAAATATGGGTCAAGCTTTTTTTTTCCCCCTAAGATGTTTCTAATGATTCCCAGTGGAAATGGGTGAGGCCAATCTTCTTCATTTACCATCCAGCTGCAGTGAGTCAGGATCCTAGTTCGTTTTATTCCCAAATGGACAATAAATGCTGTAAAATTATGTGAAGGTCACAATCCTCAAGTCCATTGCATTGTGTCCCACAAAGGATCCTGGCTAGAGGTAGGAAGATGGGTGGCTACCATGATATAATTGATGATGTAAAGAATTTGCCTGGAAATTTCCTTGACTCATGTGTTTTGTAAAATCTTACACTACTCTTACGAGTTAATGAGACAGATTAAGCCACTCCCCTCAGGAGAATAAGACAAGATTAAAATACTCCCCTCAACAAAATTATAATTTCAGTTTAGATTGAATGATTCTTTATCCTCATTTTCTCCCTGTTATATTTAATTAATTCTTTGGAGATAAAGGATATGTATAGGAAAATATCAGGGAATACAAATATATAGTTATATAATCCAGACTATGATGACTCCTATGTAATAGTGTACATACCACAGCATATGTTTAATATGGAGTATAGTTAATGAAAAACTTTTTATCTACAATGGCATTTAATCCAAAGTGTGATCAAATAAATTTATGTAACTATGCTATTTTTATTCAATGTTAGCTAATTAGCTGTAAAACATTGTCTTTATGTATATAACACATACAATAATGTTACTTTCATTAGTAATAAACGCATCTTTCATGAACTTGTTTACATTTTTTTGCCAATTAAAAATTTGGCAATGGTTGAATTGTAATCATAATCCAAAGATAAATATATGAACATGACTGGAAAAGTAAAATCATTCTTCAGTTGATCTTGGTGTAGTGAGGATTAGGAGAATCTTAGATAAGTCTGTAGCCAAATTGTGGCCTTAGATTTTGTTGATAGTTGGTGAAACTGAATCATTATTTGACCTCCTCTGAACTTTACTCTTTTAAACACTTTCAGTTTTTTCTCATGTGCTTAAGGCAGCAATGGAAGAAAAAACTGAAGTTGATTAAAGAAATATTAGGTGGGGTAGCTGGCACCAGCTGTCTTGTAAGGAGAGAGAAAAATCAGTGATCCATCAAAAGTGAAGAGAAGGCATAAATATGGCAACAGTAATTCAAACCCATCATGCAGAAGAAGGGTAGGAGGAATATCAGCTAACAATTACTGAACAGGAAATTTCCAATAGATTAACAACATAGCCTCAATTTTAGTTATTTCCTTATTATTTCCAGGATATCTTACTAGCAACCACACACAAGGGAATCATAAATCAGTCTTAGAAAAGAGGGGAGAGAAATAGTTTTGATTTGACTAAAAATACTGTAAAGTATAGGAGAAACATGTCTAATAAACATCTTCTTGTTTGCTTAATTAGTAACCTAATTTTAGGAGAAACAGTGAGTAATAGCCTGTTTTTAGGCCATGATGAAGGTCTGGACAAGTCCTAGTCATCCTTAATTCATTACTTCACCATAATGGTCTAGACTGTGAATTTATGTCTATCTCATTAGCCCATGGTGGACTGTGTTATTTACTTTTATCTTTTCACCAAAACAGCATATCTATATCTTCTCCTTCCTAATTAGAACAAATGAATTCATGGTAATATACTAATACATGTTAAATAGTATTTTCCAAGGAATACCAAGTTGTTTATGGGATTTCAGAAAACAGTTCATTACCCTAAATGAGTGACTTCTTGTCAATCTGGCACTGCACCATGGTAAGAAAGAGGAAAGAATAGCATGTTTTTAGAAAATGATTCAGTAAGCCTCAAATAAGAAAAAAATACCAAAACTTTCATGTTTTTTGTTTTTTTTTTGGCAAAAAATAACTAATTTATTTTGGGGAATGGGGAGTGTACAGTCTCAGAACTTCTGGAATTACTTTGGTTTGTGTCTTTTTCTATCCTATTTACATACCTCCTTTCAGTTATTCAACAAGACTGTGTGGTCTGGGAAGGTGGCTTAGTGGTAGAGTGCTTGCCTAGCATGCATGAAGCCCTGGGTTTGATTCTTCAGTACCACATAAACAGAAAAAGCCAGAAGTGGCACTATGACTAAAGTGGTAGAGTGCTAGCATTTAGCAAAAGAAGCTCAGAGACAGTGCCCAGGCCCTGACTGGCCAAAAAAAAAAAAAAATCAGAGATAGCCCCTAGCCCTGAGTTCAAGCTCTAGGATTGGTGAGAGAAAGAGAGAGAGAGAGAGAGAGAGAGAGAGAGAGAGAGTGAGTGAGAGTGAGAGAGAGAGAGACAGAGACAGAGAGAAAGACACAGAGACAGAGAGAAAGACACAGAGAGAGAGGAGAGAGAGAGAGAGAGAGAGAGAGAGAAAAGAAAGGGAGAGAGAGAAAGAGAGTAAGAAAAAAGGCCTCTGAGTTCAAGACAGTAGATAAGGAAATCAACAATAGAAATAAGTCTTTTTATGTATACAGAAAGTATTTATTTAATCCTAAAGAGTTTAATAAATATGATTTTATTGCTTTATTTCTATTTTGTATAGAACAGAATAAATTAAAGGTACCGAGAGGGAATGTGTGAAAATATATTCCAAAGTATGAATGTAAGCAGTTAAAATTGCTTCAGTATTGCCTATTCTTTTTAAAAATGTAAAAGTGAAGGTAACACTTCTAGAGAAATACATTTTCCTTATGATTTGATCTCTGTGACATGGTAGTGGAATGATCTTCCTTCTTCATAAAAGAAAGCTGTAAAACACATGTTGAGAACTAGAAATCCCTTCTGTTCAACACAGTGAGCCAGGAAAGTATTTTCCATTGCTTCATTTTTTCTTATTTTAC